AAAAAAAAGGTGGCTATATATACATCATATTCAGAAATTTTGAAATTTTGATATTATTTTTCATCGCAAATCTGCAAATCTGTAAATCTGTAAATCTGTAAAGTGAAGATGATTATACCCAAGAAACTCACCGGTCAGATGCAAGTCAGGGCAAAGAAACAACTAAACGGATGGAGAAATCTGAGACAGATCTGAAGTTGGAGATACAGTTTAACTTGAACAGGCATTCAAGTCTTCCTCAGGATCTAAAGAGTAGATACGGAGGACCAAATGTTAGGGGGAGAAGTTTAAGAAAGAAGTAGAAATTGAAATTGGAATGAAATAAAATGTCAAACGAAATTGCTGGCATCGCCGTGTGTAAAATTTTGGTAAATTTAAGTCCTTCTACTTTTTTACAAGACGTAAATACGTCCTATTAATTTCCTTAGTGTTCAATATGGTCCCTATGGAGGAAGAAATATACTAGCATCTTTTATCCTAAACACAGCACTAACCTGGTTGCATCTTCTTCTTCTTCTTTTTTTAACCAACACACGTGGCTGCATTTTTCCACGATTTTTCATCGCAATGTTTAGGAAAATTCTCCTTTCATATTCAATGTTTGGGGAAATTCATTGTTTGGGGAAATTCATTGTTTTATAAAAATTCAATTTTTTTTGCCAAAAATTTATTTTCATGTTCAATGTTTAGGAAATTCAATTTTTTATCACGATTTTTCATGTTCAATGTTCATAAAAATTCTTCATATTTGAAATTTTCTAACATGAATTGAACAATGAAAAATGTTTGTGCAAAAAAGTTTTATTTAAGAGAAAAAGGAAGGTACCAATTTCAGGAGATTGGCCTCTATCAATGGAATATTCATATTTACAAGGCCATATAGTGAAAAAAGATTGTTGTATTATCAAGCTGCTTGCTTGCTCTAAACTAGGTACAAAAAGTGAAATTAATTTTTTTTTTTTGAACATTGTAGTCACTGGGCCAGTGCTTTTGGGGAGAAGAATATGAACTTTACAAGAGTGGTTAAAGCCAATTGACAAAAAGGGTGAGGTTCAAAAAAAGTGAAATTATTTAGTGGTTAAAGATGTTTAAAAAGTAATCTTTTACATCATATAACTTTATTATTACTTATATAGTTCCGTACTAGTATCTTATATTTAATTAATTTATACTAAAAAAAGTTTAACTGTCATATTATAAGTTTGGGTTTTACTATGATATTTGTTTAAGTATTTAATTATTAACCATTTAGATGCTAACTTGATTAGTTTAGGTGTAATTATAATTTATACTTATAGGTTATGCTTTTTGTATTATGTAATGTGTACCTGGCAAGTCATAGATGCTTTGTAATCTTTTTATTATTAATATGTTTTTGGTTTTTAAAAAAAAAAGATATTTTTTATTTTATATATAAATTAAAAATTTATAAACAATTTATATTATACTATCTTTATAAA